ACCTTTTCATAAACCCTAGATGAGTTGAAGAGATCCATCAACCCATTAATATACCTTTTGATGAACCCTTGGGTCAGTTAAAGAGTCCCATCAACCCATTCATATACCTTTTCTTGAACCTTTTCGAGCATTCATGATCTTCATAAACGTTTCCAAGTAAATCTTCTGAGCTTGAACTTTGGGTATCGTACTTTCATCAATCCTTTTTGAAGGGGTTTTTGACGATCTTACGCGAAAGTTTATCATAATCATCAACCCTTTCACAGGGTTTATGAAAGTGCAACGTATAGCAAACCCTTTAAAGGTTTATGAACTTTATCATCCCCTTCATAAACCCTTTACAGTGAGTTTGTGCGCTTCATAAACCTCATGTTCATCCCTTTTCTTGGGGTTTATGGAAGGGTTTATGACACCTTAATAAACCCTTTAAAAGGGTTTGTTATACGTTGCACTTTCATAAACCCTTTTTTCGTTTTTTATTCTACGGATTTTTTTTTCAGTGTATGTATAGCTGAGGGTGTGAGTGTGGATGTGATTCTTGTGTTCCCTTCACCGACTACCTTACCCAAACAAACACCCACCCTAGATTAAGTTGGTTCGGGCATGTAAATCGTGCGTCAACAAACAACAATGAACCATCGTTAATTAAGAAAGTTATGTTTTCATATTTTCATGCTGAAAAAAGGCTCCGAAACATTGGTATTAGAAAAAGATGGAAAGATAAAGTGGTACATGATACGGAAATATTTGGAATTAAAAACTGGAGAAGATTAACCTTGGAAAAGGTTCGGTGGCGTGAAGCGATAAATAGACATATACAAGTTAAGGCTGCATACCATCAAATCAAGAATATAGTATTCAAAGATAAAAACAGAGCAGTTCATCGAAGAAACGAAGAATTAACCATGTTGCGCGTAGCAGGACATCCGAAAGTTACAGAAATAATAGTAAAAAACGATAATAACATGTACAAGTGCCCTAGTTGTGGTAAACAATTCAAACTACAAGGAATAACAAACCATGTTATAGCATGTTCTAAAGTAACAACTTGGCGTAAGAAGAATCGAATCAAGTGAACAAGCAGCAAATTGATTGTTGGAAGACTGTAGGGAGCTATAATCTTGATTGAAATGATGGATACCATTTAAACTGGTTTACCAGAGGATGGTAGACTGAAGAACTTGGTGCTAACACTCTACAGCGATTAACAGAACACTCATCGAAGTACACAAACTCTTCTTTTTCTTTACTTACTTATTTACATCGTCATATGAATGTTGTTTCATAAATTTTCGATTCATTTCGGCATTTGTTTTTGTATCTTACAAATGCACATCTCCAAGAGTGATATTTGAGTTATCAACTATAATTTGTAAAATTCTTTCTCCACTCTTCTCTACACATGTTTTAATCATCAGACAAAATCAAGAATTATGGTTATTTTCCGTTTTATTAAGTTTCTCGAAATTGGCATATTTGAACAAGACAGTATTTCTATGTTTTATTGTTTTACATTTACAAAATTCTCTTCAACATCTTTCTGCCAAGCGCAAAGAAATTTGTCTTTCATATCATTTTCAATTAGAAAAGCCACTTCGGCACCGTTTCGATCTCGTGGTGACCATTCAGCACCCTCTTTTATAGGGTTTAAACGAAATACACGTAAATATAATGGTCCTGTCCATGCCGTATACATACGACATTTATCCGTATAACCAAAATCAACCAATTCCACCCAATCGTATCTATAATTAGAGTTAACTAGAACTTCATTTGGAAATTGATTCCAATTAGCTAATAGATTTTCACGTGCGATTTTTCTCATTAATTTATCAGCTGTAGCCAAATAACGTTTGAGAAATTGTGGATCACGTGATCGAATAATTGAACGACGAGTAGTCTTGGCAATACTCGTTAGAGCTAATGGATCATCATAATCATCGGACAGCACCTGGAGTATAGTATTAGAAACGAGTCCAGCTGGAGCAATCGAATCCGAGACACCACGATAGTTTACAGTTGTATTTGTTCGTAAGATACGACGTTTATCATCATTCAAATAACAATGAGTATTTAGTGTAAGAATAATATAGGCAGAAAGTGAATCTTGAATGGTGACCTCATTTCCGCCAGCTAATTCACGTAGTTTGGCTAGTTGTTCGCCTGAGAAGCGAATGCTCAGTTGTTCGTATGTATCTTTCCAACTGCCGAAATGTTGAAACATTTCTTGTAATGGTCCCGCATAAGTCAAATGTTTCATGAGAGGCAGAAAAGATTGATCTATTTCTTCTTCTAACCATAGACGTCGTTCGAATACAGGCATTGGTTCGAATGGCTTCAGATGTTGATAAATACGTGAAATTGTACTTAAGAAGTTTAGTAAGGCGGCTGCATCACCCAGTAAATGTGCCCAACTGACTCCCAATACGCATTCTCCACTTTGTACGAGACGAGTTAATTTTAAACGAACGAGAGGCTCATATTGAGAGCCAGAAATTAGTTTAACAACATCTACTCCATCAATAAATGGTACAAGTGGATTTTGATGCAATTCTGAAACAATTTTCAGGTTGACCGGCCAAGCACTTAGGTCAGTATTTTCTGTGTAGGAAACTGGAATTGGATTATCGGACATTTCGATCAAGTAATGACCATCATCGAGTAAGAGGAAATGACCAGCAACAATAGGCCATATGGAAAGAGTACGACTCAATGAATCTTTGAATTGTTCGATATTTAATTCAGATGGATAGACGAACACTTTGTCGGTGCGTGCAATGATCCACAAGTCAGTGCCTGGAAGTTCAATTCGACGACTATTGCCTGTTGGTAACGATGGAGAAACGAGCCAAGACGTCATATTTCAATCTATCATTATACAGCAAAATTGTTCTTATGTAAGTCAGAGAGAAATGATAAGAACAGAGAAAAAAAAGAAATTGATAACATCGTGTAATCAATGTTAAAAAAGACTTGTTTTCAAACGTCCTTGATGCTTGATTACAGAAAAAAAAACTAATAAATGAAACTTTTGAATGATGACTTTCAAGTAGAGCAGTGTGTCGAAGCGCAAAAAAAAGTAGGTTTTTGTT